TTCCGAGGATTGGCTGGTGGGTAAACAGGGTCACTTCTCAAGTCACATTTTAGGTGGAAAGCATATTTTCTGACAGTAAATGTTGCACACATTTCTCTCGTCATTTCACTCCCTCACACAATGTTAATATTAGCCAGATGCAGAAATAACATAGGCATATGCATGTGATAAGTCTCCTATTTAGAACATGACTGTTATGTTGTAAGATGACTTAGTAAGATTTTTGCTGCAGAAAACAAGTGACTCTATAGAAATAGGACTGGGAAGTAGAGTTAATGACAGTATTATGTTTTTGATCTAGAAAAAGACTCTTAGGAAAGGTTGAGAATATAAATTTATATGTTCTTACTACTAGACAATCTCAGTATCCAACTGGTCTACATAAGGTCTTGAAGCCAAACTGTTTGAAAAGTTTTATTTGGTAGCAGAAAACATCTACAACTGGATCTTGACAAAAGAAATTTGGGTAAGAGAGAAGAAATAAATTTACACATATAAGTTTTGCTTTTGAAATTTGGGATAATTATCAACAATCGATTTAGCTTACAAGCATTCACACAAAAACATGTCTTATTATGGAAAGGAAGCAGAAGCTACTGTCATGCCATGACTAATCAGTTTGTTATAACTCATGTTAAAGACTACACTGAATTTAAGGGAAAGAAACTCTACGGACTAGAAGACAACCTATTTTAAACTGTAGTAATATATAAACACATTTAGACAGACCAAAAACGATCTCAACAACCATGACTATTGATTTCTCATTGATAAATCAAGTCCATGATGTCTGTAACATTCATTTACATCATGGCTTTTCATCTCATAGTTGTCAGTTTTCAAAACTATATATACATTTACATGTATTAGAGATTATTAACAATAATTGTTACCATAGGACATGTCTCTTTCTCTCTGTTTATAGACTTGATTTGGTCATACGTTCACTGTCACTGATCTGACTGCATATCTGACAATGGAGGACAGATCTACTAGATCCACCCAAAGATAGGATAGGAAGGATTGATCCATTGTATTTTTCCTGAAAGTCTAAAGACTTTGTATTCATTCATAATTTCCATAGACCAAAATAAACAGGCACTAAATGTGTTTGGGAACACCCAAGAATTGAGAGCAGTGTCTAGTTTAGTGTAAAAGCATAAAGTAGTTAACATTTTAACAAAATGTAAAAAAGTACTGTTTTCCCTAAAGGGGGAAAGCAGGTAATGTTCCACTAGTAAAAGAGAAAAACAAATACTGGTATTCAATTTCCAGTTTAAATATATTTATGAAGATTGTGACAACAACAACAACTAATTAGAACCCAGAAGAAATTGACTCATGCTTAAATACACAAGTAGTATTTCTACATCAAATTTAGTCTATGACTAAATACAATGTTACATATGTATGTAGATATAAATATATGCACATGTATTTTTATATCTACATAGATATATACTCATAGTACCTTTATGAGATTCTCTAAAATGCTCACAGTAGCTTACATGGTATTGATAAAAATAAAGATATAAGCTTATAAACTATGTTGTTGTTGTTGTTATGTGTCGTCGAGTCCGACCTGACTCATAGTGACCCCTCCTTAGGTTTCTGAGGCAGTATCACTATGGAAGTAGATTGCCCAACCTTCCTTCTGAAGAGTGGCTGGTGGGTTTGAACTGTCAGCCTTCTGGTTAGCAGTCAAGTGCCTTAGGCACTATGCTACCAGAGCTCCTTTATAAACTATAGTGTACATAAAAACATCTTTTACAGTTTACTTCTGTGATACTTACTATGGTTTAAAACAGCTTAAATTCTTCAAGTTTACATTTTGATTTCTGAAAACACAAGTATGCTTTGGTAGTCAAACCTTGTAAAAGTTTATAGGTTTTCAAAATAAGGAATAAAAAGGTAGAGAACATCAAATACGTGGCCAGAAAAGAAAAGCAAAAAAACTTCTAATGTGGAACATCACAACTTTCACTTGATCAATCGGTGGTTGTCAGCAGATGCCCCACTGAAACCTAACTTCTTGGAGGTGAGTTAGGAGTGTGAAAGGGTTTGACTCAAATTTTGCTTTATAAGTACATCTTTTAAAAACTTAATGAAATGCCTATTTTAGTGTTTTACATACCCCTATTTTACCATACCGGAGACTCCTGGTGATAAAATCCACTACAGAGGACTTGGTTTTGTATACAAAACTAGTTGTATACAACTGCACCTAACTTTATGTAAAAAATCTCCTGAGATGTGTCTGTAAAACCTGTAACCATCTGCAGTAATTTACATCTGTGCCAATCAAACTTTCCTTGATACTGTGGAAATAAAACAATGTACTGAAGTAATGGGCTACTGAGTTTCACCAACTATAATCCCATTTTCATTCTAATCCCAATTTGTGTTATTCAGAAATCAATATTCTCAGTAATCCATTAAGATAAGTAGACTTATAAATATGAACTCGAAACACACGTATATTGATATAATGGACTTTGATGTATTGAGGTTCTACTGTTAAAAGAAGTTTGGAAAGTAATGTGCTATAAGAAATTGCCCTGTCATTTTATTGTACTGTCAATTCAATATTTAATGTGATTCAGTTTTCTAAAACAAACTGCCTGCTTAATATTTTTCAATTTCTGAATCACACTGCATAATGAGATAAAGTCTACAAACTGGATGGTGACAGCTCTTCATAAAAAAGTAACTAGTAAAAAATTAAAGAGAAATTACACTAAAAATATTCACAAATGCTTTAGTCTCTTCCAATATGCAGCTTTCAACCATGATTTTTTACTTTTGAATTACCTGCATATTTGTTACTGTGTTTTAAATCTCAAAATATGTTCATGTGCCAGGTAATACAATTCAGTGTGTGTCACACATCAAATGTGTTGTGTATTTTGATAGTTTAGGCACATTTGTATGATTTTAGATTTTATTTTGTGGTTTTATTATAAAACAGCTTACACACCAAACTCAAACAATCTTTTTTTATTTAAAAATCCACCTCAAAATTCACTTCTGCGTTTTAGTTTTAGTTGAAAAAGAAGCAAAACATTTTAAAACATCAAATACTACTAGTCTACCAGTCATCTTGTTACGAACATTTTTAGTGTGTGGATTGGGGAAATACACCCATACACTGATTAGGCACAGTCCTATGGCTAAGAGCCCAGAAATCAGGGCACATCTGTGTAACAGTTGGAGGTCTGAACAGAGGGAGTTATGCTACAGCTGGATGCACGCATCGCTCTGTCCCCTCCAAAAACTGTTAGTAAGTTTTAACAACGTAAGAGATTGTACGCACCTTATTTTAAAAAACAACCAACTACACTTGCTTCCTAAATTACATTGCAAAGGTGAGACAGATAAATATAAATTGTAGCCTCATTATAATTTGTAGTTTTGTCATCCATATCACGGGACCATGCTATAGGAGGGACAGAATTATAAGATGCCTCTGGTGATTTCAGAAATCTAGTCGGAAAGGGTGCATGACTATAACATTTCACATTATTGCAAGGTTCCAACAGTTCTTGAATTGGGGCAGTGAATATGAATCACAGTACAAAATGCTTAATTCTTTTACTGGAAAAGCAATAGGTGCTACATATAAGAATCACTTATATAACATCTGTTTTTTTTTAATGCAGATATAAAATTTTAATTGCATAGGGTTTTAAACATAAGGCCAAGAAGGTTATTCACTTAAAAAAAAATTCATACAAAGGGCACTATGATGTCAAAAGATAGAATTTTCATTCTTAGAGTAATAAATCTGAATTACTGTCTAATTAAAAATCACAGTATGTTGCTATACCTAACAGTGAATGTCAACTGTTCCATTAATTCCAACCTATTGTTGTTGTTGTGTACTGCTCAATCAATTCTGACTCATAGCAACCCTGTATGACAGATTAGAACTGCCCCACAGGGTTTCAAAGGCTATAATCTTTACAGAAGCAGACCGCCACATGTTTCTTCTGCAGAGTGGCTGGTGGATTCGGACTACTGACCTTTTGGTTAGCAGCCGAGCACTTAACCATTGCCCCAGCAGGGCTCCTCAAACCAATATTCCAAACATAACTAAAGCTCATTGTCTAAACCTGATCAGTGTAATTAGCACACCAGTGCCTGGTACGTACCTGATTAGTTACATAATCTACCTTTTGTAAATAATGTAAAGTTTAATACATGTTAACAAGTGTGAGACAGCATCATCACTGCCTGCCCTCAATGATCTGCAGGCTAACTTGATAATGTCATTATTCATTCTTTAAAGGGTGCAAGATCCTACCCGGCAGAATCTTCACCCAATGAACCCAAAACACTGTAATTAACACAATATAAGAAAATTCCATCATTAATAACTAAATGTACATGAGCCAGAGAGCTAGGTCCTGAAACCAGTAGGTACATTATTCTCAGAATTTTGGAAGGCAACAAATGATGAGTCCAACTATACTTTCTGTATTTTAAGCTAACGGTTACCACCTAAAGTTTCAGGTAGAAAGCTTAAATTTTCAATCTACTTCTCATTTTAATGTTATTAAACTGCAACTTCCAAATCTAAAAGTAGCTTAATTAACTTAGTATTGTTACATAGAGTAGTGTGAGGAAAAACAAAAACTCCCAAAGGAATTATGTTAAGGTACATTTGGGAATACCCAAACCAATGTTTAAATGAAAAAGTGCATAAATACAGTAATACTACAAGTGTGTTAACTGTGGAACAAGTGTTTGTTTGGAAGCTATAGTATTTTTCCATATTATTTACATGGTTTCAATTGTTCAGATACCACAAAGCACCATTTAGGGTCTAAATTACTTGGTTGTGTCTGAAAGGTCCCTTGACTTCAACTCAGCTCACTGAGGCTCTCCGACAGCAGATGAGTCAAGTCCCTTTTCAAACACTGCCATGACTGTGGTTCTGCTCTCAGGATTTATCTTTACAATTCAGTTCTTCTTTGTTCAAAAATAACAATGGAGTATTTTCATTTCACACTCTTGGTGGGTGTTTCAGACTCTGTGGACTGTCTCCCATCAGTCCAGGCTTCCCGGGTGCTCTTCAGTGCCAGGGTCTTCTGCTGGTCAACCACAACATAATCCACCCTCTCATCTGCTACACTGCTGCCTGAGCCACTGCTCTTTTGCTAAAAATCAAAGAAAAATAAATACATAAATAACATTCCACATAAAAAGGAGTACTTCTGAGTGAAAATCAGTCTTAAAACACACATACAGATATACACACACTGCAAAGACTTTTGAAATTCTGTTGGGTCACACACAAAAATATTATTACCTCAATTTAACAATACTGTCTCTTCTAACTCGGCACTATTTTTCCTTAAATTTAAAATAATTTCCGTATCAGAATTCAACTCATGCTCCCCTCTCAGATAAAATTCATATAAAATAGGGACAGCATACAACCAGCTCATTTTAAGATACACAGCTTGCTTCTCTTGCTAGCCTTTAGCCCAAGTCTGACTTCTTTCAAGCTCCAAGAACAAGTATCAATATTTACTTTCAGAGTTTAGAAATGTTTTTTTGCAACTGATAGGCTGATGTATTCTCTTCCTCCTAAAATACAACTAGAGTCTAGCTAATATAATTATTAAAGCATTGCTGGACTCACTTGAAGGAGCCAGGATGGTGCAGTAGTTTAAGTACTCAGTTGCAAACGGAAATGGTTGGCAGTGTGAACCCACCAGCCACTCCACAGGAGGAAGATGTGTAAGTCTGCTTCTGTAAACATTCACAGCCTTGGAAACTCCATAGGGCAGTTCTGTTGTACATGACTTGGAATTGACCTTATGGCAGTATGTTTGGTTTGAACTCACAAGGATATTTATTTAGTGAGTTAGAAATAATTCATTAGAAAATTAGGGAAATGGGAAGCAGTAAGTTTCCAAATGGTAAAAGTAGAGTTTTCTTTAGGATAAGCATCCATTTCAGCACTATAATCAGGAGACTAAGTCTTAGCACCCTGGGTAGGAGAGCTGAATCGGAGGCCCTTCCTGTTAAGCTAAAGGCCCTTAAAGGGACTGACGTGGTCCTAGGGTAGTAGCAGGGTAGTTGGTTCCAAGAAGAAGCAAATGCAAATTCTTTTTGGAGAAAATTGAGGTCCCCAAGATTGCCATAGATTTGTTAAAAATGAATTTTGATTTGAGTAAAATGAATACATCATAAAAATTTATAAAACACACAAGTTAATAAGGCCCTGAAATTGTGAGTTATCAGAAACAATAAACAGAGATTGAGATCCCTAAGATTCAGATATTGAAATAACTGCATACAAAGTATAATACACACACACACACACACACACACTGAGAGAGAGAGAGAGAGAGAGAGAGAGTGTTTAGAATTTGTTGAGTAAGCATTTCAATGGTAATCACTAGAAAAGGAAAAAGTATGTAACTTCCATGTAATTAGAAAGGAATAAATA